CAAACTGGACAGACAGCAAAATGTGAAAGGGACACAAACTGGAGAAGCGTGGCTGAAATGTTATCCTCTGTTACCATGATGTTAGCTACCCTCTGTTATCAGTTATCCTCTGCACAGTAGCCAAGTGCTGAACTGAGTTCTTGCTCCTGCCAAAACAGCCTTTCCTCTACCACTGTCAAGTAGCCAAAGGTTAGACAGGCCAGCAGGGAAGGGACAGGGCCTTCATCAGTGGTGAGTTTCAGAGGATAACCTTGTTGCTGTTTCTTCTGAGCTGAACTGCATGGGTGTGGCTGTGCTGGGCTTTTCCAGGGTTACAGTACAGCATCTGCAAGCTTTTGGAAGGAACTGGATGTAGGAGAAGTGCAAAGGCATTCAGCTCAAACAAAGCAGCTGTCACTCCAAACCCGTGTGGTGGCCAACTTTGGCAATCCAAGTATGTTCCCTGCTTAAACTTTCTCTGAGGTATCTCTGAGGTTAAAACAAGATTACTTGGCTGGCTGTCATAAATGTTGCTGCCTAGATTTTGCTTTAGATTTTTAACAGTGCCCAAGTCATCAGTATAGGAAAGGAGAAAAGGGATCCAAGAAGTCACAGGCTACCAGATTGCTCTAGGCAAATCATCCTGGCAGCTGGAGGAGCCAGGGAATAAGGGATGTCAGGGATGCAGGACCATGCAGGCAGGCTCCAGAAAACCCCTGCAGTACAAAAAATGGGCAGCAGTTCAGGGATGCCAAGGACTCACTGCCTCCAGATGGCTTATACTGCATAGCCAGATTGCTGGTGAACAGGAAGGCTGGGGAGACCAAGGCAGAGCAAGGTCTCTGTGTAATCTCCCAGAGGAAGGTCTTGGGAGCCCAGTCCAATGCTCCCCACCAGCTCATGACAGCAGAAGAATGGTCCCATAGCTCTTCCTTGTCAGCCAGGGAGTACAATGGTGATTTCATTTCACCTGCATAGGCCGCAAAGTATACTTTCTGCAATAATTAGCAATTATTGCTGAAGGATGCAGGTTTTAATTACAAAATGTGTAAGGCTTTTCGAATAATTCAGTCATGAAGAGAAAGGAATCCTCTTTTCGGAGGAAAATGTAGTCAAAATTAATAGAGGCCAGAAATTAACTGTGTCCTGTTCATAAGTCAGTAGGACCCCTGAAAAAGATGAGAAGAAACTGTAGTTTTTTCTTTGCTTTTCCTGGAAAACTGGTTTTTCTCTTGCCATAACAGGCACGCAAATTGCTATTAAATTATATAGAAGGTGCTGAAACACTTCTGTTTTCCTAGGAGGAAGAATTAAAAAACAGCTATCCTAGCAGAAAGAAAGATAGATTCTTATAAAGCAATGTGTGCTTTGCATTTGTTACAGAATTTTCAAAAATCAATTTTCAGGAGCTCTCTGTGAATTACTAAACATATAGCTTTGCCCAAAGTTTAATTCTGGTTTAACCTGAATTGAGAACTAGGCCTCTCTCGGGCTGGTACTAAATGCACCAAGATCCATTTTCAGCTCTGAGTGAGATATATCTTCACATGGCTCAGAAGTGCAAGTGCCAGCCTGTGCATCACTTCTGGAGGAAATGAGCAGGTTTCTACAGGATTCTGGAGGAAAGATACTCTTTCAAATATATCTTACAATCTTGCTGTTATTGTCTTCTTCCCGACTCTTCCTTCAGGCTCCCTCTGGTGGTTATAGTGTATGTTACTACTGCCGCCTTCAGTCCCATTTTTGGTTCAAATGTACAGCAGCTTGAGTCACACCAGTAAAATTTTTTAGGTTCACATGAGGTTGAGATGCATATAGAAGCTTTCAGTTTGCTATAAATACGGTGTTTAATTAACCCAACTGGAATTTTTTTCTGGCTTATCATAGAATCATAGAGTGGTTTGAGTAGAAAGGGACCTTAAAGGCCATCTAGTTCTAGCCCCCTGCCATGCCTTGAGCAGGGATGCCACCCACTAGATCAGGACTAGGTCAGTTTTATTGCTGCTAACATCCCTGGAATTGAAAATTCACTTCTCCTGAAGCCATGTATTTCTTCCTGATAAATGACATGATGCCTGAGAACAGCCACCAAACAGTTTGCCTGTGCAGGCAGTCCCACTGTGGGATCTGGCTGTGGGACATGTAAGCAACAAGTCCTAAGCATCGTTGCAAATAATGCAGTTGGGCTGCTGTCATTTTATCCCAGCAGTGTTTGCTTGTCCTTCCAGTCCTGGATAGGAAGGAAAGGCAATTGCAATTAGAGTATTAAGAGATGAATTATAGGTTTTAACACTAAGACCTACTTGTGGATGTCAAAGCAATATCCTGAGGCCATTCTCAAGTTACAGTAATTGCATGCATAAAACCCATCCCAGAGTTTCAATTCCTCTGTGAATTCCCTTTGCTTCACACCAATCTGTGACATGCATTTTCTGCCATTCTGCCATAAATCCCATCCGTGGGCTAAAATACTTGGTAGCATTTTACTTGGGGTAAAATGCTGAGCAGAGCTAAGTCTTTGTGCTGAACACTGCAGAGGTTAACTTCCTGTTAGCACTTTAGTGACTTTCTCACATGAAGTTGAAGTATTTCCTCTCTCTTTCAAATGATAAGAAGGAAGATTGTTTAAGAACGGGTCCATATGCAACAAGCATCCTATTCCTGCCACCAGCAGGCACCTGCTTTCTGTGTTGGGCAGCCACCTGCTTTTTTGTGACAGAGGCTGTAAAACCTGTCCAAGGCAAGTAGAGGGTTTCAAAGTGGTGTGGTGGTGCAAGGTTGGGATGTAACCTCTAAAAGTAGTCCAAAGACTAGGTTTGGGCCCTGTAAACTAATGGCAATCAGAGCATAAGATGGGATGTGGAAAAAGTCAAAGAGAAAAAAAGCCATAACTGGTCTTGTTCCGCTGATTTTTATTTTATTTTAAAAATAAATTGCTAGCATGATTTTGTTCTTAAAAGTACGTATTTTTGCAAGAGTATCATCCTCCCTTAAAACTCAACTGATCAACTGATACCAGGTCTTTGTGGAAGTTCTTAGATGGATTTCAGTGAGCTTTTTAATAGTCATTATGTTTATTATGAAAATCTGTGTCCTGAGATGTTACATATCCCAGTGTCAGCAATCCTGCTGTGCAGTTCAGTGGATTATAATGCAACTCACTAACGTGCTTGAAATAATGAGGTTGCTCTGTTCAGTGGGGTGCAATGAAAAATAGAAGCTACAGCTGGGAACTCAGATTTGATTTAAAATCCGGACTGAAAAGGTTCTCTATTAAAATGCCACTGCAGGTTACTAAGTTTGTCTATTCATTAACTTCCATTTCATGCTGGGCAATGAGAAGACCAGAAGAAATTTTTTAATATTTTGCTCAGTGCATCTAAACAGTGTGTTAAATTCCAGCCTTGCAGAGTTCTGGTGCTCTTGGAAGTAAACGTTGGATTACTTGAACTAAACACAGAGAGAAATGGTGGCTGTGCTGGAATCAGTTGGAGATCTGAGCTTTGAGTTCCATAGCACTGATCTTTCCCTGTTAAAGTTCTCAGGGCTGACTCTCTTTCAGGCAGCTCCTACCTCTTTCTGATTATGGAATTAGAAGGAGCTGAGTTGATCCCTTCCCACTACCTGCCTCTCTGGAAGCTGGGGAGAGGGTATGGATTTCTTTTGTTTAATTAATGGCAAGCCTTTATAGTGGCCCTTCAACTTCAGTCACTCCTGTCTATCTCAGCATAATTGCTGGGCTGCTTTTCTGTAGATTATTTGTATGGCCTCATAACTTCATTTTCTCCTTAGAAGTAGAAGCTGGTTTGTCAGAAAAACAGCTCTGAGCCAATCATACCTTTGGAAAAATAAATTTATTGTTGAGAGAAAAAGGTGCTGGTAGAGCTTTTTAGCCATCATCTGAACTTAACTGGATCTAAAAACCAGCCTGTGAGAGGACCTATATCCCTTTTAAAAGAACACTTTTCCTCATGGCACTTACACAATGACATAAATGCTAATGAATCCGAAAAATGTCTTAGCATGTGCCACAGGAGCCTTCAGGGTGTGAAGCGAACCAGGAGATAAATGGAAGTGCTTTGTGTACACAAGGTTGGAGAACTGGCTTTGGCTGCCAGTTACCTCGATTGAATAACCTGCATAGGTCTGTGTATTTCAGCTGAAGCTTCATGTATATTTTGTTTGTACCAGTTTTCTCCTTTATAGATGCTCAGCTTTACAATTAGATGTGCAATTGTTTTGCCAATTGATGGGGGTGATTTAAAGGACATAGACACCCATAAAGAATGGCCTTATTTTACTACTAATACTAAGGCAACACAGAGGCAAAATGATTTTATTAAATTTGTTCATTTATTAAATGAAATTTAATAAAACAATAAGCTTACTATGTGCTTGGCTTCAGCAACAAACAAGCAAGATAATACACTTAATCAGTAGTATATGAGAGAGAGAGAGAGAGAGAATAGTGATTGAGAAAGATACATCACCAGTTGCCTAAATACTTTACCATCATCCAGAAACCTCAGTCGCTGGTTTTGTTGCAGTGGAGAACTTTCAGGGAACTGGGAGGTCCTAGAAGTGCGTTCATTCCTGAGCTCTCCAAAGTCACTGCAAATGGGGGGGTTCCAGCTTCTATAACACACTTCCCAACCAACCTGGGCCAGGGCTTGGCCAGGCCCCAGGCCACGGTGGGCATAGGGGTTTCTTGCAAATATAAACGTCTGGTGATGTCAGTAGGGAAGGTTTCTTAAAATTACACGTTTATTAACATATCCTGCAGATAATTACACAAGGTCATGTGAAAATTCCTAAAGCAGCTAGTTTCATGTTAAAGAGGTATGCAAGGTTCTTTGTTAAATGGCTAACATAGAAAGTATCTTTTACATGATTTTCAGGATTCATCTAAGTCAACTTTGGCTTGGGCCTGTTGTTCATGCCTGGGCACTTCAGAAGTTTAAAGTTGCTGCTGTCTCCTATTTGCTGTTTAACTCCAGAGGGTCGATTTTCCCCTCTCACAGGGCCGGGGTGGAAAAGGCAGCATCTATGTCTGGGCCTCTGGAGATGGAGGCAGCTATGATGACTGTAACTGTGATGGTTATGCATCGAGCATGTGGACAATCTCCATCAATTCTGCCATAAATGATGGACGGACAGCTCTGTATGATGAAAGCTGCTCTTCAACCTTAGCCTCCACCTTTAGTAATGGGAGGAAGAGAAATCCGGAGGCTGGCGTGGTGAGTCCTGATACTATTGTGCTCTTCTTGCTGTCTTTGTGTGTGATACATGTCTAGCTGCATGACCTATTGCAGCTCTTGTACTTTGGAGCAGCAGATGGTTCTTTGTTGAGATGAATATTTTTTCATTTGCAGTATGTGATGGTGCCAAAACTGTCAGCTGAGAAGATGTGGGAGTTTTACTGAGAACAGCAATGATTCTTCCATCTTTTAGAGTTTCAAAGGAAAGTTGGTGCTTTCCTTTATCAGAAACCAGATTACAAAGTCCAGTTGCCCTCTTTCTGGAGGACAGTGTGACAGAAGGTCTCTGTAAAAATCTAAGTTAGCATCTGAGATCATATTCACTTGTATTGGCAGACTTCTGCTGTATAAGCAACACAGAGCACAATGACATTTAGTCACTCACAGAGGACATATGTGGGTTCAGATCACCAGAGCCTGCTGTTGCTGCAGGGCCATACTAATAGCTGGAAAACACGCAGGTTCTGTTCAATTGCATTTGGGATTCTCTTCCACAGTAGTGATCAGCTCTTCTAGAGCTGTTCTTCAGCGCCTTCAGACTAGCCAGGACTTGGTTCAGTTTGCAGAGTGGAAAATGCAGGTGTGCTGACTCAAGGTTAGTTTTTGCCAAAAGCTGCTGGACATTTTCCATGGCCCTGTCTCAAGCCTCCAAGACACATTGTGCAATCCTGAATGCCCACATGAAGTAGCAGAAAGAACTGGTTTCTGTCTTCATCAGCTCTGTGATGATACCAGCCAAAATTATCTGTGGCATCTTTGTAATTTGCCATAAAATGCATTTCTAAGGTTTTCTTCTGGTCTCTGCTAGTGACTAATCTGCACAGAAGATAGCATCCTGGTGCTGCTGCTGGTCTCAAAGTTGGGCAAATGTTAAAAAGTTCAATACTGTTAACAATATTAGTTTCAAATCTTTTTGATAATCAAAAAGGAATTTAAGGCCTTTGGTTAAACTGTGTTTTTAAGAAATAAACAGATTCTAAGTGATAAATGAGCACTGGTTTTCTACCTGATGACATGTTCTTTCATTTGTGCTCTAAATGTGTTTCACTGTGGTTTTAAATTGACACACTCTTCCAAAAAAGAAAACAGATTGTGGGCACAAACACAATTAAAGAGCAAGGGCACAAACTCCACTTTCTGTATTTTTCTGAGTCTGTAGCTGCAAGGAAAATGGGATAGCTGGTTTCATTAATTACATCTGATATCATTGCAGGCTACAACAGATTTGTATGGCAACTGCACCCTGCGTCATTCAGGCACGTCTGCAGCTGCCCCTGAAGCAGCCGGAGTGTTCGCCCTGGCCCTGGAGGCTAAGTATGCTGTTGAGAAACTGCTCCTGAGCTCTGAAGAGGAGAGGGCTTGTGGTTTGTTTAGTGGTGTTCATCATTTCACTTGGCTGGCTGTGGCACGAGGCTGCAACAACCAGCTCAAAAGCAGCCTCACACAGTAGTGACATGCGTGGTGACTTGCAGATAGAGAAACAGTCTTACCAAAGTTGCATGGCAGATGTGTTTTGGCTGTCTGGGTCTCTCTGTGTCCTCCCCATCCTCTGCATCCAGGGATTGGACTTCTCTGCCAGTGTTTGGAGGAAGATATTATTTAATTTCTCGACATGTCCTCTGTGAAACGCCCAGCCTACAAAAACATAAGAATGACCCTGTAATGTAAGACAGGAGTTCATCTTCTGCCAGGGTACTGTCTGCAATGACAGATGCTTAGGAAGAGGAAAAAGAAAGGGGATTGAGAGTGATCTTTCAACAAGAGCTTTGTTGATCTGTGATTGGTAGAGACAGCAGTGGATCTCTTGTGTTTAATAGCTATGGGCAGATTGATCGTCCTTGAAGTTGTCTAACTCCTTTTTAAATTGTCTGTATTTGGCACCTAGGTCATCCAGTAACAATCAGTTGCTCAATATGTTTTGGGGTTTTTTTTGGCAATGGTGGTGTGGAATGTTTTCTTTGTTTTCTTAGCCCATTGCTGATAGCTTGCTTCTGTGCTGTGTAATTGCTCTGTTACATAAAGGAATAAATATCCATTGTCTATTTACCATCTCCATGGTATTCCTGACACTGGAATGGTTTTTATATCTTGGAATCATTATCTTCTTCTCTACTGATTAGGAAAAGTTTTCCTTACAATAACTTACACACCTATTTACTTTATGTTAATTTTTTTCATGAACTGAGACTACATTTGCTTACTTACAGAACTTCAATTGCTGTAACAAGGGCATGAAGTGAGTACTATGTGCATGGTTTCCTTCAACAGTGCAGAATAATGAAGATTTGTGAGAGGAGGCCAAGTTTACATTAGCAGGGCAATGACTCATGCTCATAACATGACTTGGTCCAAGTCTCATTTTTCAGGTTTTATATGTGTAAAACCCATGTCAAATGTTTAGCTTTGGATTATCATTCCTTCTACTACCACATTCATTCAGTGGTACAGCCACTATGTAAAATATTAATATGGCCATAAAAATATAAATGTTTAATGAATTTTCTGACCACTGAATGTTTAGACTGGACTGGCACCTAAATATCTCAGTAATAATTATCATTCTTCTTCATTTTAGCTACCTATAAAGACTGGAATTACTCTGCCAAATTATCATGAATAAGAATTAGATTTAATACCCCTGGCTTGCACTAGAATTTCTAGGCTTTGCTGAGAAGGCAGCAGGAGAGAGAAGGAACTGTCAGTGTCTCTTGTATTCTTCTGGCTGTATTGAATTGTATTGTGCAGAACTATCCTGGATGAGCCTTCCCAGGATCCCTGAAAATCTCCCAGGAAAACGGTTCTTGCCTGCATGATGTCTGTCAGCTCATACACAATATAGGACGGGCGTGTCTCTCAAACCAGACCAATCTATGAAATAGAAAGTACAGCTTTAAGATAAGTAGCAAGCTGTTAGAAGATATCAGTAAGAATGATGCAAGTACTATCTTCTTTTCAGCTTTCTTGTGTCACCTTGGGGGAATGACGGTAATTGCCTATTCTGGTATACATTCAGCATGCACACTTGCTTATTACTTGGGGCACAGAAAGCTGAAAAGCAGATCCTTTTAGGCTGATGGTTTGAATCAGACATACTGTGATGCTGAAAGAGTTCATAAAACAACTGAAATAGCTTCAGTTATGTAGAATTATGTAGAATGTCAGTTCTAAAGCTTTTTAGGAGAATAAGTGCCCTTCTTGTTATCATAATCACTGTACATCTAGGAAGACAAGAGAAGATGATGAAAAATAGCCATTGCAACTAGGCAAATATTACTTGACTGCCTCCATCCATACTAATATAACATGGGTGGAAAACCTCTGCCATACTTTACACTGCAAAGCTGCAGACATCCATGGCCCATATATCCATATTCACAGAATCCTGACATTACTTACACCTGGATTACTAGAGGTCATCAGCTTCATCAGATTAGGGTCTCTCAGGGTGGATCTTGGAAGGTCCACGGTAAAAGCAGGAGGAGCAAGCAAGAGAAAGGGGGCAAGATCTAAGAGGAAACCTAGGTGAAACATTTTATCATCTTTGAATTTTTCGTATTTCTCTCAGGATCTGAGAGCACTCATTAGTTTAAAAATTGCATGTTGGATGTATAATGTCTAGCTAAAAGAAATCAGAATTTAATCAGTAATTATTCTGCAGTTTTGGAGAACGTATTCTGAAAAGTACTATGTAATTCAAACCTATTTTTGTTCCCACTGAGATCAATAGAAACTTTGTTATTGACACGTGTGTAGTTACAATTTCAGTGTTATTCATAGAAGCAAATTTTACCCAAAGCCTTACTCAAACACAGTTTTTCTCTAATATCTGCTTAGAAATACTCAAATGTTTTGTTTCTCATGTTGCTCTTCTATAGCTTGCATCTGACATGGAGAGACATGCAGCATCTGACAGTGCTCACCTCCAAGAGGAACCAGCTTCATGATGAGGTTCACAGGTGGCGTAGGAATGGCGTTGGGCTGGAGTTCAACCATTTGTTTGGCTATGGTGTCCTAGATGCAGGAGCAATGGTTAAGATGGCAAAAGACTGGAAGACTGTTCCTGAGAGATTCCATTGTGTTGGAGGGTCCATACAGGAACCTGAGTAAGTCAATAGCCTAGTGGATGTGTTTGGCTTCTTCCAGGCATCTGAGGGACTGCAAACATACAATTATGTTGACAAAGACAGTTAAAGAAATTTAATTAAATTTGGGTTTTTTCTAAGAAACCCTAACATTACCACTAATACGTTGATAAAACATTTTTTATCAACAATGCTTGATGAAACTGTGATCTTTCAGCTCCAGGCTTGCTGAAGCAGTACATTCTATAGCACATCTGTATCCTCACTGCTAGTGCCAGAAGTGTTAATACAACATCCATTTCTCCTGAGCAGTCACGGGTATGTTTGTGCTAAAGTTTCTGTGAATAAAGAGCCTATCCCCAGATGAAAATCTGGGAGACTGGCACTGTAAATTACATAAATTTCTGCCACATGAAATACCTATCAGCCAGGTCATATCTCATTGTGAGATCCTTCAGCAGACAATTTTATCTCCAGAAGACTGAAACAACCACCTACAGGTACCAGTGATATGGTTTGAACACTACAATATTTGATTGTGCTTGCTTTAAGCTCTTCAGATCTCTAATTACTTGGGTTGGTAGTCAGATTATTTTCTGATTTACCTTTATGTGCTAAAGTGAATGAGTCTACAAATGAATGAATACTAATTGACTACAACAGCTTTAGCTTAATTTAAGTAATTGAAATACTAACCTAATTTGTAAATTTGTCAAAAAAATTTGACATTTCAGTGCCATTTTTGAAGGCAACATTATTCTGTTGGAAAAAGAAAACAAACCAGGATGCCACCCTAGCACATAGGTTAGCCAGGGAAAGAGTTTTTCCCCAAACTTGCAGATTGAATTTGCATGATTCAAGGTTCTGCAGCTGAGCTCTGAGTTTTAATTTATCTGTCTTATGTATTCTCACAGGTAAAAAACAAATAAGAATGCTGAAGCTAGTTGTTGAAGGTTGAATTATTCCCTTTTCTTTCAGTGGAATTTTCTCCCATTGTTATGCTAAGTAATTGTGGCTACACCTTAAAATGACAGATAATGTTCTCT